CGCGCAGTCTATTCGATGTCCTCATCCTAGTTTTTTACATATTGTCGCGCCTGTCCCATGGTGATCCGCAATATTGTCATGATTTCGTCTACAAAAATTGCACGATGAAGATGATCGCATACTATTCCTAAGAATGACACTGCTACCTCGTGAATAAAATTGTGACAGCGATTCCAAAACCTGTCTTGCCAGCCTCCACGCTGCTCTTCTTGGCCAGCTTCTCGATCGCTGCATCTCTCTTCCTTGCTGTCTTCTATAAGAACTTCGAAATACATATCCTTTTTTAATGTCAGCAAAACTGTTCTTGCTTTTCATCGCGCAGGGTGTGAATCAATCCACTGCTGTGATGACATGACTGCGCACACCTCGTTTGGGCAGCATCTATGCACATAAGACATAACAATCTCTGATAATGAGCTTCATGTGAACACGACAGGAAAGCTGCACTCTGCAATGCCGCACAAACTAGAGGGTGTAATAGTATTGCCTTATTTTTGACAAGCTTAAAATCCTTGTTCAACAGCATTCTTAGTGGTGTAAGTACTCGCAGCCGGCATAGTCATTGCAGATCAAAACCAGCATCGACTTCCCTTACCCCAACCTTTGTTTGGACGACTTTTGCTCGTCTGCTTTGACAACACCCACCATAGGGAATGAGTTACTTCCTACCAGGTACCCGTCTGTTCCTCCGAATGGCTGGTGCTGTGCTTCGGGTACAGTACTTGCGCCGCCCGTACTACTCTCCATCTGTTGATGACTGCCTGCAGATCCTTATGGAATGACCGCTGTTGTGTTTCCATGGGGGTGTAGATGGCATACTTCAAATGATAAGAATCAATGGCATTGCGTGCAATTCCAACACAAGAGTGTAGAATAGGAGAAACAAAAAGGACGAGGAGGAGCAGGAGGAGGGGGCACGGATGATGGTCGCGGTAGAAAAAATGATTTGGATCAGCCATCCTGCCAGAACTGCTGAGGACAAAGCCTAGCATACGGCTCCGTGTCCTTTTCCCACAACAACAACCGTGGCTTTGCCTGGCTGTTCTTCCACAAGAAATCCACATTTTCCATGGGATGTATGGGTGGGAGGATGTAACAGGCTTTCCAAAGGAGAGGATTCCCTTCACTATTCGTCTTCTTGTGCGCTCGCTAGCGAATAGGCATATGAGTCACGGTCAACACTCCTTACATCTGGCAATGGACGCCAAATTTGGGAGTGTCGCTGTTCAATGTTCCTATCTATCGCTTTACAAGATTTTGTACTCAACCTGCGATCGAGTGAATTTCGGGGTGTCCCTTTTTAATGTCCCCCATAACTTTACAGGTTTCCGCCTGAAAACTGTGGGCTGTCGCTGTTCAATGTTCCCGCAGCTTTACAGGGCTTTTGCTTTCCATGTCCGCTACTGACATAACTCCTTACAAAGGAGTATTGACTGTGGCTCATATGAAGATTCAGAACCGACAACCGTCAGGTTTTCAACCGCCTTTGTGGCTTATGGAAGGTAGCAACTGGAAAGCCCGAACACCACCTAAGGTTCGCCATCAGCTGCCATCAGCTGCCGTTAGGAATGCTGAGGAGGCAACGGACAGCAGCGGCTTTCCACTCTGAAGCAGCTTGCTGAAAACTTCCTGGCCACATGTGCAATAATGTTGCTACACGTGGATTAAGATGTGCACATAAAATTTGAAAACGATCTCCATCGCACAGTCACTGCGCCGTTGTTGCAGCAACATGTCAAATCCGAAACCACGTGAACTGGATGGATGATAGCGGTGATATAGCCGCAATTTGACGCCCAAAACCGTACCTACCTGTGGTAGGAGGATATGCCGTGCATGCCAAAAAGACATAGATTCTTATGGGGATCCAATTTTGGAAGCTATGATGGCTATGATTTAGAAGCGCGTTCAAGTCGAAACCTGTTCCCCACATAGAACCTCTGCCAAACGGGCACAATGTGGTAACTGGAGCCCGTACCTCGCCTTCTTTACTCCATGCTTGTGTGTTTACAAACCCACTTGCCACGCCTGCGGCTTGCCCCGCAACACTATCAAGCGGCTTCCTGGGCGGCCAAACGCTTCCCCTACAGCTGCGCCTACAATAGTATCTCCTGATAGCAACTCGAACTGAATCATTTGTGGGGCCTGCTTTTTCTGCGGGTACTGCTACCACTGCTACTACCAGCAGTGAAAGCTGAGAAAACCCTTAACATTGAGGAATCCAACTAAATCCTCACCCCCCACCCCCAACCCCAACCACTGCCACCACCGCCACCACCGCCACCACCGCCACCACGAAACTAAAACTATTGCTGGCAGCACTGTGCTTCTTTCAAGCACAAGCAGTCGTACTAGCCATAGGAATGGTACTGGTGACCGTATTGACAACAACCATGAACCTTTAATTTTTGCCACTGACATACTAAGCAAAATCTGCAGCCAAATTGACGGTAGCGCTTCCGTAGCTGCCTCAACGCAAAACCAGGGTAATGGCGATGTTTCCAAGCGGATTTTGTGCAAGATAACTCTGCTGGCTTCACAGGACTAACGCCGGAGAGCTCCAAGCAGCGAGCTTCCAGCGCAAGACAACTCACCATGAGTCAGACAAAACGCAGCACACTACTGTGAGTGCGGATACGGCGCTGATCCAGATCTCGGAGGCAGTCAAGGAGGAAGTTGTAACCTTCACAGCTAGACATCCAGTACTCACTGCATGCCAAGGGACCACTGGGCTGCTAAAACTACCAACGTGCCAACGAGATGCGATTCGGACCAACAAATTTTGGCCCGAAGAACGGGTCCAGCACGAACACAGGGCCTGGAGGACAAGCAGCGAATTCCAAACAGTCGCCACCCGAACCTTTCAAGAGCGCAGAAATGGAAAGAGACTGTGCCATTTGATCACTACAAATGGTTCAAGCACCAGTGCAAGTGCAGTTTGAATCTGGCACAGCGCGCTCTTCCTGTCTTCTAAGCCAAGCACACACGTGCTTTGCTCCAGATTTGGCTGCCTGGCCAAACGTGATGGTTAAATATTCCGTTGGCTGTATTGCTGTCCACCACCACCGCCGCCACCACTTCCTCCACCACCATTCTGATTGTGCCTGATGAGTGCTTTACTTGGTTCCAGTACTATCCAAACGTCGCGTCGCATTACAGTTCTAGGACTCTCCTTGCTTTTTTGGTTCTACTACAAGTCATGACGTTTTGTGCAGGCATGGCAGCAGAAGACCATCAGAATATCCTTGGTGTTAGCAGGCTTACTACTATGGATGGTGACTTTGTATTGCCACTGAGGCTAGCACTGCTAACAATCATTAACAATCTTGAGTGCCTGAAAACTCTGAAACCATTGCTTCTGCTACTATGCTGTGGTCAACTATGAGCATTTAGCTGGTGTGAGATTTAATGGCACACTCACGCTACCATGAGAACTACAGGCTTAATATCTTTCACTGCACTTATACTTTTACTGTCCAAGAACGACAAGCTGCTTGTGGTGCCCGCTCCTAATCCAATTGAAGCTGTGCCTCCATGAGTGGAGCGTTGTCATGAAGGCGGAGTCCTTTTCGGAACCTTTGCTTTGCAAAGCTCAAGACAGAAGATCTCGGCTCAAACGTGAGGATGAAGCGGACTCCAGCCCTGGAGGCAACTTGAAAGTCTGTCGTGAAACTGGCACCCTTGCCGCAACGACACGCTCCAGCAGGAACACTCGGACTTCTGGACGACAGGACCATTTGGGCAAAAAAAGTACCCTTGCAGCGCAAGGCACCACACAATTGCTGATCCAGAAGACTCTGCCTTTGGGGCCATGCTTCACGTACACCGCAATCAGCAGCTAAATGCCGCTGTGTTGGCTGTCTTGGTGCGAGACCTATGCTTGTTGTTCATGGGCAGTCTCATCATACAACAGAAGGTTTGCGGTCATGAACTGCACAATTTCCAGCTGTTGCCAGCTGTACAGGCTGCGTAACTGAAGAGTTGCCGATGACTGCGCTGAATAAGGGGGTTATATAGGGGATTATATAAGGGATTGCTATAGGGGTTATTAAGGGGGATACTAGGAGTTTAGACTACAGCTCATATAACCCCAATATACTATAGTAGTTTCCATTTTCTTTTCCATTCTCCCTATATAACCCCAATATCCTACATTAGTTCATATACCCAAAACCCAAAACCCCAAACCCTAAACCCAAACCCTAAAATACTATAGTCCTTATTATAGGGACCCCCAAAATGGTACCCCTAATTGGTCTTACGGGGTTACCAAAGATGATGTTTGCATGCTTACTCAAGGCAAAGCCTGGATCCAGAGCAGGGCACATAAGGTCAGCTTCAAATCATATGGGAGTTTCCCAAAATAGGGGGACCCCAATATAGACCCAAATATACTATAGTCCTTATTAATAGGGGTTTCCCATAATTAGGGGTACCATTTTGGGGGTCCTTATAATAAGGACAATGGTATATTAGGGTCTATATTAAGGTCCCTTTATTTTGGGAAACTACCATATCAAGACAGAGCAGCCGCAGCAAGGAGCCAAGAAAGCATTGATGTCATTTTGTTGGTGAAACCTTTGTCACCGTCTCGGCCGGCAGCATGCTCATGCGAAACCAGCTTTGCCGGCAGCCCGCCAAACATGAACAACTGGGCTGCTGTTGCGGAGCTTAAGATAGGCCACCTTGCTATGGTATACAGTAAATGATGCGGTTGCCTCACTACAGTGACCGCAGTAGCCCTTATATATCTAACCAGTAGCTTCAGTAGCTTCCTTTTTGCTGTGATTTCCTACAGTAACTTCAAGTAAGCCCCTGTACAGCAACCCACATAAGGATAGCAGAGTTGGGCAGTCTGATTGATGTAGCTGCATGTGGGAGTCTCTCAAAATTCGGCGCCTGAAGGAACCAAAAACAAAGTGAATACTGTAGGGAAAATAATGGACTTTGGCGGTCCCCCTGAAAGATTCCACAGGTAAAATTCTGAATGAACTCCCACGTCACTGCATCTCCTTGATGATTGGCCGCTTCCTAGCACAAGCTTCTGAGTTTAGGAGGATTATATGGGGGAGGTTGGGGTGGTGTTTATGGCTTAAGGCTTATGGAGATTTTATATGGTTCAGGGGGATTGTAACCCCAATCATGGAGAACAAAATTGAAAAAATAATGAAAAATGACATGCTCAAGCTGCATCAAACTGAGGCAGCTGCACCTGCCAGAAAATGCTGGAGAACAACATGACAAAAAAGGCATCCAAGCCGCTTCATCGCTTCGTGAACAACCGTTCCGGGCTTCGAGTGCTTCTTGCGATTTGTCTCCTTTCGCTGCTTGGCCTGGAACAGGAATCCGACTTCGAAGAGCTGTAGTTATCAAAATGCCGAGTTGCCGGGTAATGATACCAACGATGTGAAACACAAGAAGGATCAGAACAGCAAATGCTAGTTTCCATGTAGTTTTCCAATATCCCAATATTTTTCCCCTATATCATCCCCACTATACTATAGTAGTTTCCATTCTATTTTCCATTATCCCAGTATAGCTCAGGCTCCTGGCCTCCCTCATGATGCGCCGCTTGTTGCCCATCGACTTGATCTGGCAGGGTCCCAGAAGTCTGGTAATCTGATCTGGCCCCATACACACAGTCACATGTTTCACTCCCCTGATACAGAGAACTTAGTCTCCGACCATCTTGGGCACATGCCTGCCAGCAACTTAGGCGCTTGTAAGGGGCCACGAGGGTGAGAGGTTGGTCCCTACTTTGTAGGTCAGCTGTCTGCATGGCGCTGTGCAAACTGTCCTGGAGTCCTGCCTGTGTCGCTTAATGCGGGCAATCTCCGGCATCCGTGCAAACTTCTTCTTGAGGGTTTCTCGGTAGGCCTGCCATAAGCACACTGCATCTTCCCGAAGATTGGGACAGCTGACCACAAACGCTGGCAACTTCTTCATATCAGGGACCCAAATATGAGGCTTGTCTGTGTACGCACACCAAAGACTTTAAAAGACGAGGAAGGATCTTCTTTCAAACGCCTTTCAAACCCTCATCCAAAACCTTCCGGACCCCGAACTCAACACAAATGCCAGTTTCCACAAATAGTGGCCACAATGTAGCCCAACAGTATGTTATAGCTCTACTTCTTATGATAGTGATTGCCACAAAAATTTGAGAAAGCCCCCAATCATTGGAAATTCCTACCCTAAACCCTAAACCCCAAACCCTAAATCCTAAACCTCAAGGCAGCCCAAGCTGTAGCCCTGGCCAGCCTCCGCTCGCTTCTCTCGAGGCGTTGACACGCCAAGTTTCTGATCGGCTTTGGCCTCTTCTTACTGGTTCTAAGAAGGGAGAATGGTATATAATCTCCGTATAATCCCTATCCTACCCTAGGTCCCTTTAAAGGGATATATGGGGTTATATTGGGGTTATATGGGGGATAATGTAAAAGAAAATGGAAATTACTATAATGGGTTATATGGGTGGTTGTCAAAATTATGGTCCCTTTTTGGATCCCTATTATAGTACGGCACCTAATATTTAGGGTACCCAAAATGGGACCATGATTTTTGACAACCACCCATATAATCTCCGTATAATCCCTATCCTTTATTCCCTTATTCCCTACTAGGCACTAGTAAGTCTTTCTCAATTCGTGCTGGAATATTCTGAAAGGTGTTCAAGCAGACTATGTTATAGAGATCAAATTACGTGGGTTGTGGAGCTCTACATCCGCATTCTAGAAGATTCCTGCACAGTTTCTTGTGAGGATGGAAGAGGATGATACTGTTCTTTCGGGACTTCAGGTTGAGCCTGACGCCTGCAGAAATTGTGAGCGCTCTGCAGGGGCGTGCGTAAGGATCAGAACATCTATCTCAAGATCTGGGAAAGGAGCTCATGATGATCGCAATTCCCAAGCTTTGTGGGTTGTGTGGAACCCACTTTGTTGAGAAAACACCCTGAGTGCTGTATGCCATGACAGCGACAGAATCCAAAATGGTGAAAGGTGTGAAGCTTCCCAAGCCGTCAATATTCCAACCTAAAAGCCCTGAATCCTTCAAGATCCGCAGAAAACCGCAGCTGTCATCATCCCTCAAGCACCCCTTCTCGACTCCGAACTACGGTGAGCATGTAGCATGTGAGCAGGCATTGCCTTCCAAACACGTATGTTCGTATCCTCTGAACCAGAGAGTACGAAGCGGCCGTCTGGTGTGAAGTGGCAGCAAAGCACTCGCCTCATTTCTCAATACTCATATGTCAGACTCTGATTTTGCTACTTTTGTATGGTATGAGACCATCCATGGTACTGCGGAACGGAAACATCATCAATCTCATACCTCGCAAGTATTGGGATTCTCCATGCCTTTACTTCAGCCTGCAGATGGAAGAACGACCAACCATGCTTTGATTGGCGAGTTGAACTACAAAAAACCCCGTGAATGCGGGTTAGGTTTGTGGGCTTCCACAGCCCACCAGATGATGGGAGTGGTCTTGGGACCCTTCAAATGAAACCTGGTACCACATCTTTGGCGGCTATGGTCCATGCTCAAACTGATGGGCACCTTATGGGTACCAGTTCTTGTAGGGTAGCTGCTCTTTGGGGCTACGAAATATTGAACTACCTACATTCAGATTGAAAGGATCAGAGTCAAAAAATGCCAAGTTGCTGCATCCTCTTTCCATGGTACACCTGCGCAGGTTTGGCCAGCACGGGTCCGTTTTTTTTCCAGCGCCCATGCGCTTTGGCGACTTTCCATAAGGGAAGACTGACTTAGTTTTCCTTTGTATTGTGTGAAAAAAAAAAAACCTCCTCCCGCTATCCACCATCCTTTCTTCCTTTCCATTTCTCTGCTGTTCTACCACGTCTTCCTCGTTCCTCCACCCCAACATGGCCCATGCCTCCGTTGCCACCTGGCCGGATATCTGGTGATGGTGATGGTGGCGTGTGAGGATGGTGATCATGGTACTTTTAGCGTTGCTGATCGTAAGTCACGCAGGGAAAACACGGATACAGATACCCAAGTCATCATGGCAGAATGCACACAGGCAGGTGCATGACAAAAATACAAAAAGAGACATGGTCTGACAAGGAGTTTGCAGAGATGCTGCACTGGCAACCCAATAAAACGCCTTCAGAACAGACAACTCTTCAACACCAGAAAAGGATGAAACAGGATTCATTGCTCTGGCCTCCTTGGAACGCTGGTGGGTGGCGTCCCAAAGCCGGACCGTGTTGTCATAGCTCGCTGAAACGAACTCTTGACCTGAAGGGGCACTTCATCGGAGAGCATTGCCGCAACAACTCCACATCAACAAGCGGGGGTGCATCAAAGAACTTCTTCGAGCAACAAGAACCGACACCCGGGTTGGCACGCGGAGATGACACAAAACATGATCCGCCCTGTAAGGCCCTGCAGAAGATGCTTTCGTGCATTCTCACACAAGTAGCAGCTTAGCCACCGTTCGGCGCGTAATCGACATCCAAGACAGCCATAACGTGATCCCAATGTCTGTACATTGCCGCAGAGAGCTTGCGCATGTCAAATGTGTACAAACCTTGGCTCAAGCAGCGTCGAGAAAAGCCTGTCCACCTAACTGGAAAACAGTAGAGCCCTGCTCACATGGACTCACGCACACTCGGAATTCCTGAGAGAAGGGCTGCAATCTTCGTTCGCAACAGTGAAACTCCTGAGCTCTGAGAGCAACGTCTTCGGCTTGTCAAGCATTGATGGCAGTGCTGCAGAGATATGGGCTGCAGAAGCTTGTCACTTGCTCTTGACAAAGTCTGCTGTCAGGCATCATCGGTCGCATAGGATTCCAACAGATTCCATTGGACCGAAGCTTCAGAAGCACCTTACACGTTCGCCATTGCAGTACTCTGAATTGGAATACAGCATATGGCATATGTCACACACCTGACCTTGCGAATGGCAGAATTCCCGCGCAGGTCCTCGAACGCAGGACGAATCGCATTTGGATGTATGTGGATGTTGAACAGGACTGGTCAACCACAGCTTCTTGCAAAAAAATGCAGGCAATGCTGAGGTTTTGACATACAGCCCGACAGACCTGTCGACGGCCGTCGATGCCAAAAGGCAAGGCTCGGCTGGATTGAAGCGGCCCTTGGCGCATTCGGGACACTCCCTATCAAGAGGAATACAATGTGAGGACAGATGTTGAGACATGATTTGGCATGGTAGAATCAGAAATCACCACTGTCGGCATCAAGACGCAACGCAAAGTACGCACACCGTGAATGCATCCAAGGCACAGTGATGACCCGCTCACAACCCCACTCAAAGGAACTGAGCGGTGTGGACCGGTTGTAATCCCAGACATCGACCTAGGTTGACAGGTCCAACCACCAGGCAATCTTCACTGAAGAATCTCGTACGCGGTTGATGACATATCTTCGCTGTTTAAACTCTCCAGTGCCAATGGACTCCACTCCAATCAGCCAACTTGAAACAAGCCGCGGTGTCACCAACCGTCACAAACATGGGCTTCTGCCAATGGTGATCTATCGCCTCAACAGAGCAAACATCGCTATGATAATTGGCATTACCACTCGCACTTTGAGGCTTCGGCACCGGGAATATAAGCCATGCTGTACACGGCCTACTTGGGCCACAGTCTAAACTTCTAGTATCCCCCTTTAAAACCCTATAATACTCTCCTGTATAATCCCCTATATAACACCTTTAAGGAGTTTAGACTATAGCTCACTTGGGCAGCTTGGCAGCAAATCTCAGGCTTCTCAGCAGGAGGTGCATGGCCTCTGCTTCATCCGAGATCCCACATGCTTTGGGTTGGATCCTCCACATCTTAGCAGCCTGGCCAACGCAGGAAGGCTACCAACGGCTCTTTGAGCCCTTGAATTTTGCAGAATTGGACAACATTCCCCCTGCAGCGCCTTGTCATCTCCACAAGAGAAAGCTCTTCGCCCATCTGGACTCATGGTGACCCCGCGGACAAAACCCTGGCCAGGCAGAGTGATGCGGGCAGCGAACGAATATTGGGTTGTGTTGGGGTTATATAGGGACTATCTAAAATAAAATGGAAACCCCTAGGTCCCTGTGAAGGGATATATAGAGTTAGAAAGGCCTCGTGCGCTTTGCTGACGTTGGCCCCACAGCGAAGGTATTGCCTTGCTGGGAACGGTCAGATAAGCAGTAGGGGGTCGAGGCATGTAGACCCAAGGTGGCAGACATGTCCCAAAGTCGTAGCTCCCCGTCACAAGATCCCGTCCTTGGAAGCCGAAAGACATCATGAAACTAGTTCATCTACTGGAATCTTGGCCTGCTCAAGCCTCGCAAAGGAGCACTTCAATTCTGAGAGCGTGTCAGCAGGGGTGCGGCCTTAGAAGTAGCTACACTCAGCGCAACGATTGCAAAAAAGCAGCAAGACTAGCAATGCCACTTTCACAGTTAGTCCATGCAGTCAGCAACTGTGCCTGAACTACCCACAAAAGCAGCTGTGGTTCAAACCATACGCCGAGCAATCGCCATGCATTTGACGGAATCTGTGTGCCCCTCAAGAGCCTGTCCAGAGGGCCGAGGGCTGAGTGCATTGCGTTGCATCCGCGCACTCAAGGTATCAGGTCAGCACGCGGAAGTTGCACGCGAAATGTCATCATGACTCAGTCATGGCTTAAAGGAATGAAGCCGCCTTCACAAACGGCTTGGCAAAGATCTTCTCTAATTTCACTGCCTGATGTTGGTGTTGGGCAGCGGCTGGCGGTCATAGGTCAACAGACAATTTAAAACAAGCGCCTGGCCTTCAGAGCGCGCTGGTATTCGCGGGCACGCTCAAATGGATGCAAGTCAGGATCTGCATTGCGGAAGTGACGGGTGATGTCACTGGACGTTGCACCCAGATATTCCTGCAAATGCTGCTGCAATCCCTCTGAAGACTTTGCCATCTGTGGCAGGACCCCTGGAACAAAAAGGATGCCCGGCAACGGTAAGAAGGTGCTTCCAGTCCTGTTGGCTGCGTTGCAGCACCTGACAGGTACCGACACAGCCGCCGAACGATCAAGGCCTGAGCTCTGTGGCCAGGCCCCAGGCTTTGATCTTCATTAGCAAAACAATCTCGGTCACCTGCGAATTATGTGACTGCAGGTGCAAAGATTGTGAAAGCAGCATCAGCTCGCTTCCCCAGCCTGAAAACACCCTGTCTGGATGACAGTTCGTCAGCACATGAGTCGCACCGGCACTAGCTTGTGCTGCTGAAACTTGGCTATCTCGCTGCAAGTCAGTTTTTAAACGTGTGACATGGAAAAGTGTTGCCAGTTGCGGCATGGATATGTGAGTATCTGTGAGATGCTAATGCTAAGGAGCGCTAGAGCACTGCGGACAGCGAGTGTAGCGCACGACAGGAGCACCCTCAGAGCCAAGAGCATGCAAAAAAGCCCTCATCCAGCTGGGACTGGCCTGAGTTCAGTAATGTGCTCAGTCAAGTGGTCCTTCAACACCATACATAGCTGCTGCAAACTCCAGCGAGAGCCCCGTCCTTTCGCAGACCGTATGCGTCCAGGACACTGACCGTCTTCACCACTGCCTGCCACTGCTGTTAGATGCCCCAAGATAAGAAACTTTACCTTCCCGGAACATCTCTCCACCGCGGACTGGAGTGAACAAAGTGATGAACTGAAACATATCAACGTTTAGCCATGTTCCCATAAGCGTGCAAGTTTTTTGGCGCAGATTCCAGACAGATCGTTGTTGACGGTGACGTCAGCTTCGAGTTGCGATTTTTTACGGGGCCCAACAGCTTGATCCCGCCATGAAGATGATGCAAATGTCAGGGAACCATCCAATTAAGACAAGGCGTAGTCCTTCTTTTGGACTTGATCAGGTGGCACACAATCTTTAGAACCGCCTATGTTGCTTGGTTGTGCTTCAATGTCCTATAGTACAAGTAACAAGTCGTCCAAGTGAAGTCCTTGTGGTTAGTACACACCGCTTTTTCATCGCAACTCATGGGGTCCGAAGCGGTTGGAGTACGAAACCCCTGCCTAAATGATTCTGAACTTCGCCTTGGATCACGGGCCTCTGAACGCCCTTGCGCGGTGCCTCCTCTGGCGAATCCGGGTCGGCTGCTTGCAAAGGTGCCACCAGCTTCTGCCAGGTGCCAGCGCACAGCAAGCTCAATGGGTTGAAAATCTTGAAAGGCTGTCAGCAGGGATCACGTTTATACAATTTTTGTTTGCAGCACGCTGAAGTTGAACAAAAAACTCCAACCTCCACACCACGACCCCAGTGAAGGGGCAGTCCTTGTACAGCAGCTGCAGATAGGGCGACGTCGGCAAAGAGGAGCGACTGACAGAACAAACATATCGTGACAGCTATAAGCTATACCAACAAATACCGCCATGGTTTCAACAAGGGCACTTATAATCATCAACAACCGGTGGTTGTAGTAGGAACGACACCCAGAAGAGGATTGAAGAGGACAAGAAACAGCCCCTAGTAAAATCTTGGGGTCCCTATGTACCCTATGTACCAAGTGTGTACCCTACATGTACCCTCATGGGCCCCTGGAACCCCCCAACAGAAATCTAAGGGGCCCTTTGTTAGGGGCTGCCTGGCTGTTGTGGTCAGTCTCAGATGAGTCTGAAGCTCCGTGATCAACCGTCGCATCCTCCATGGCACATGAGAGTTTCTGGAAATTATTGAACGACGTGTTTTGATAAATACCCCATATAATCAAGGAAAGTCCCGCTTACTACGTCATACTGCTTTTTGCCTATGGTTGTGAGCTAGCTTCATATTACCTTTTGCGTGAGATGCGACAAAAACATGCCTGCATCCCTCCAGCTGGACATGTATCAAAATTATGGTCAACATGTCATTGTATCCTCATAATTCGAACAGAAATCACAATTTTGGCAGACCCAGCTGAAGGCATGTAACAAACTCAAAAGCCGTCAACGCAGATTTTTCAACAGGCTTCAACGCACTGCCAACGTCGCATTGGAACTTCAGCATCTCACAGTGAGCCATACACGGCCCTCGCTTTGGCACCTAGGAGGTGCTGCTAAGAAAAAACGGTCTTAGACTGTCACCTGCACCAGTGCAGCTCTGGCACTGTCGCGCTGGGACGCGCCTGGCCTTGCATCATCGCATTCTTGGGGACCACAAAAAAGAGCTGGGTTTTTACGTACCGTGACTCTGCGGCTCTACCAGAAATATTATGCACGACCATCATTCGTACTTTTTTCGTGCGGCTAAGCCACTCGGAAGTACCCTGCATCAGCCACAGACTTCGTCGCTTTGCTGCCACCTTAAGCTGATCGTGAGAAGGGTGGAACCCCGACTGTCTGCCACGGAGCCGAGAGTTTCAATTAGGCCCTTCTAAATCAAGCTGAGGGCAGCCTTGTTCAAAATAGAGATGGGGAAGTACCATGAGTGAGTGGAGCAGGTGTGTCGTCCGTTCGTGCTGTGAGTGCTATCTGCTGAGGTTATTGATGTAGCTTGCACTACTGCCAAAAAGTAGCCTCACTTGCCACGCTCCAGTATGCCCAGAAGAATCCAGCAAACATAGCCAGAAACACCTCAGACCGGCGGAACATATGCAACACGTGGAACACATGGTGTGCCTGGCACTGGCATCTTCGTGTCTCTGCGGTCATGCTCAGGGATTGGCAGTGCAGGCGATGAACACCTGCTCCGATTGTCGGCTGCAAAGAAAACACTGCAGCTAGCCCCCAAACACCCCAAACACCACCCAGCCTGTCGAGGGAAGTCTGGTGCTGTCTTGAAGCCGGAGGTCTCAATCGGAGCAGAGCCGGTGCGGATGATGTCAATGAAATACCAACCTGCGATAATAACTGTCGGAGCGCGAGGATTCGCATTATTCAGACTCACTTCAGAAAGAACTGAGCAGAGCCGAGCTGCTGGAAAGCGCGAAGAACACCAGGACCTTAAGGATGCCGGACCAGCTCCGAACATCATGCGAGAGATTCACGGGAGCGGAGCCAGTGATCAGCAGCTCCGTGATCCAGAAAATGCTCAGGCTACCAAGGGTAATGAGCTTCAGCCATGCTGAGAGCGTGAGCTCCAGGTAGAACCGATCTGCTCCCACCACTCCCAGGAACACGGCCAAGAAGTACGCCGTGGTCTGAGACTTCCGCTTCGTGCGGCACTCCGGGTCTGCCCACTCAGGATCGCACTTGCAAAAGGGAGTGGGATTGCTGTCCAAGGTTTTCTCCCATGAATGGCAGCCACCATGACCACTGCACTGCAACGTCGGAGACAGGCCTGGCAACGAACAAGAGTTCAGCACTGCTTCTCTCGAAGATGCACCGGGAGGAACGAACTGGTACGTGACGAAGTAGTCGTCCTGCTGACGCCAGTTGCCGACGGTGTGCACTCCGACACCATCGCAACCCTGCAATGACATTGCCAAAGGCGCCAGCAGCAGGGCAAAAAGACCTCAGCAAATGGACATGCCCATGAAACCGGGCTTGGGATGAGCAGGTAAGCTGAAGTGTGGTAGCCTCCATCCCTGAAAGACTGCGATTACGTGCTGTAAGGAGGCTCAGGCGGCCCGGGCGGCTCGGGAGCTCCGCAGAGAAGGCGGCAAGCAGCGCGAGCAGCAGAGCGCACGGGCCACAGGATCGGAGTGCAGCACCAGTGCAGAAGGTTGAGGGGCCGTCGTGGGGCTCGTAGCCGGAGGTTGCAAGGACGGTTGTCTTGGTGAGAGGCTTCTCATGGTGGAAGACACACTGCACGGACTCATCGCAGCACTCAACAGCACAGGACTTCACGTAGTTCTGGCAAGAGCTCATGCAAGGCCGGATGTACTCCGTCTCGCTGCCACGTTTGCAGCCTGCCTTGGCCCTCGGAAAGTAGGTGTAGCAGACCATCTTCCAGATGGACTTGATGCAGTCATCTGCCTCCTCAGGCTTGGGATAATCCCAAGCATCCTTGCCCAGGCCATTCAGGTGAGTGAAGTAGGCTGTGTTGGCCGCACGATCCTGCTTTCGGACCAGGGCCGCCACGCTCTTCTCGTCGGCGCTCTGAGGCTCTGGCACCGCAATGTCATAGTCCACGGCCCCTTTGCAGAAGCCGATGGAGAGCGCCGTGTCTTCCATGGTTGTGCAGTACCACTTTGTTGAGTTGCTGAGTCTGTAGAGGTCCTCAAGCCCCGGGAATACTGGATTGATGCCTTGGCTGCGGGACAAGAAAAGCAGAGCCATTAAAGAAATGCTTCTCGTAATGTGCAGGCAGCTGCAAAGTCTGATCTGCCCAAGCAGCAATTATTTTGGAGGCAGACTGGGTTGTCTGTGAACATTTCTTTGGCAGTGGCACCGAGTGAACTCAGTGCCACGGCTGCAGCCACACGCGCTGTCATGGCCACAACGCTTCAGTGAAGGTGGGAGCCCTTGGCACACAAGCGTGTGAAATCTGGAGCTAGGTCCAGCCCACACTCATGCCTCGAGCCAAGGCACTGCAAACGCAGCTGGGAAACACATTTTATCATTGCTTAGACTGTTCTTTGTATTGGTATTGGTCGTCTTGGTTCAAAATCGGGTAGTAGTCCTGACATGGATACCGAAACGAGCACAGCTATGGCAACTACTATCGCTATTTGGATAAATATGTCCTTGCAAAATCAAGCTTGCAACTGCCTAGTGACTTAGTGAGCTTTTGCACGCTGCCTGCTGTGAGTGGAGTACTTCCCCAGGAATGCAGGAAAGCTTGGGAAGGCCACAAACCTCAGAATTCAGAGGCCGTATGAGGACAAAACCACCTAGCACTGATGGCTCATCTCGAATCCACAGACCCTGATCTCCTTTGCTTCGCTTTACAACACTTGTGGAGAAACCCGTAATTCCAGTTAGCATTTGACTCAATCCGATGCTTTGCCTGCTATCTCCGTGCTCAGGATGCGGCCCATTGGTCATGAAGGCCGGGTACACTGCAGAAAGGATGCCAAGGTCAGGAAGCAAGCTCCACTCCTGTGCGGGAAGTCTTCAAATGTTAGATTCCCTCACTGATAACCCAGGTATAAACAGAAGAAAACGCACTGCTGACAGGCAATAAAACATGCAAGAGAATCAGGTGTCCGAAAGATTTGTTCTGCGTAGCATGCATCCGGGCAAGCAAATTGGCGGGTGTTGAGTGACATGGCCGAACATGTTCATGGCAAAGATATGTAGACAGGACCAGAATGCATTCGTGCCGAAGAAGTTGGTTTGCCCCAAGACCATGATTAGCTGTAGAGTCCTGATGTGAGGGGTGTACATGAGTACATGAGAACTCTAGATTTGGTCCATAGCCGTGCACAGCAAGAGACCAGCAGGGCAATGATGCGCGTCCTGGTGTTCACGTATCCTGGAGCCAATCATGTCACCTACAGCCATCATGTTGGCGGAGTTGGCACACCTGGCTCTTCTGTGATTTAAGCACCTGCACTACGAGAAGGACGTGCATTACCCCCATAATTATGAAGCGGTTTCTGAAGTCAAGGCAGGATAGCCATGTTTCTGAATAGAGTGCCTGTACTATCATAAGCAAACGCAGAGGATCCCTGTTGTGAAGCAATGCGCATGCGATTACGGCTTGTGAGAAGATCATTTCCTAGAGCTGCCCTGAGTCTGCTCTTTGTGTTGATCATATTATGCATGGATGCAATGCACGTGACGTGACCCATTCCTGATGTTCTTCAAGCTACTGCAAACCTGGCACCTGTTCAGAATTTTGACAGATAAGGCTGGGCCCGCAGCCTCTGCAGTAGATCATTGTTCACCGGCCTCCAGGTCAACAGATAATGATACTAAAGTGACAGAGTGACACCATGCATGCCGGGGAAAGGGCGGCGGCTGCGGCGGCTGCTGCTGCTGACGACTGTAGGGCGGCTGATGGTTGCGATGACAGCGATGTGTGGTGATGATGTTGATGTTCATGGTGGTGTTGATGGTGATGGTGATGGTGATGGTGATGGTGATGGTGATGGTGATGATGGTGGTGGTGGTGATGGTGGTGAACTGAGGATCCCGGCTTTTTGGAAATAGCATTCAAGTAGTTCTCGTGGACGAGAAGGCCCATCAGGGAATGGTCCACGAAGAACTGGTCATGGAATGCCCACTTCGTCTTTTTTTGACGGGGATTCAGAGGTCTGGCTAATCTTAACCATCAGCTGGTGAAATTACAACACTACAACCGCTTCCTGCGTGACATAGCGTTCTTGGGGCAAGCCCTTGCTGGATTCATTGCCACGACTAGTAGTTCTTGCTTTTGTTGGCTGGTCACCCCAGTCTTTCAAACAGGTAGGCATGTTGAAGGTTTAGGGCTCAGGGTGTAGTGAGTTGTTCTCAAAATTATGGGCCCCTTTTGGCTACGGGGTACCAAAATGGGACCCTATTTTTGGGGGGGGAACTTCCCAGTATCGGTCAGTTGAACGGCACAGCTTGCAGACAGGCCCAGCCCATGATGCTCAAGGAGTACTCAATGCATAGCAAATCAAAGCCAGCCGAGCCACAGGCAGCCAAATCAACAACAAGCTGGACCAGCTTTGCTTTCACGTTCCAGAAGCTGCACATCTAGCCCGAGATGCAACTCCAGGCTCGCCGATCCGGATTTGTGCCCAAGAAGGGTCCAAGGGTCCAAAGAGACCGGCAAAAGGCCGAAAAGGCTCACTCCAACATCTGAGAGAGGGCCCGGGCGGAGCTTTGGGAGGAACCGGAAAGAACACTCACGCAAACGACTCGAAGCCGATGGTGGTGCAGGAACCCCCCCCTTGCCACGGAGTTGGCCAGGAATGTTGAAAGCTGGACTTTGCAAGTGTCCACGACCCCATGCCTCGAGGATTAAAAAGGTGCAGTGGGCTAAGCAAGTGCTGACTGAGCTTGGCGACCCTCAACAGCGAGACTGGCAGGCGCTTAAGCTCCAGCAGAGCCTGCCAAGATCTAGCTGAGCACTCGGCTAGGGAAATCCAATATGATTCCCTTCCAACTGCAATCACACAGTGTGTTGATTATTGACAAGGAGAATGGCGCCCTGTACAAATACAAGCCCATGCTTTTTACATAAGCCCACCCATAGTAATGATTGTAAGAAGACGTAGGATGCTGCATTGTTGCAACTTTGGCTTTCCGTGCCTAGTTATCCTTCTGAAGCACTTCCACCAGAAAGAATACATTCTTCCTGTATCAGACACTAGAGTGTCTTTGTCAAGCTTGCGAAGTTACTAATCATAAAGTTCCGCTGCCATGTGTACAATCCACATGCACTTTTAAAATATCCCTATCTGAAAAACTCTGAACTCAAAATCACAAATCCTAACCTCAAACCCTAACTCACCAATCCTGCAAAGACAAACCCAAAAAACATAAACCCTGCAAATCCTAAGCCCTGTTTACTTCTCCAGAACTTGCGGAATTGCCCACTTGACATCTGCCGGAGCTTTTTGGACAAATGCTGAGTTGCTTGATTGCTTTGGGGCCACATTGGCTCTGCTGCAACGTGCCTCTCTCAGAGATTTCCAGCACTGTGACTGGGCCAACCCGAAAGTTCCTAACCACAGAATCCAGGACTTTCTGCCTCACCTTAACCCATGGCTCTCAACAGCCCTAAATCACAAAACATAAATCCCAAACCCTAATCCTGAAATATGCTAAATCACTAAAACAATCCCCAAAGCAAGAATGCCACTCAGGTGGGCTCCAGACCAGGTCCAGACGATCTCGAAAGGATAGACGGGCTCCCTCCGAGTAGCAGAGCAGCTTTTTGCCTCGCAAACAATTCCCTCCCCCTACACAGCTATATTCGAGTGACGTTGTAGTATATTATATTCTATTATATTGGGGTGACATTATAATATGTTATTGTATATTGGGGTTACATTATAGTATATTATAGTATGTTGGGGGTTGAGGTTTAGGGTATGGTTCCAACCCCGTCGACTCTTTTGATGTCTAGCACGGTTTAGGACTTAGGGCCTAGGACCTAGGACCCCCCAAGTACTGAAGGCCTACTGGGGCTCATTAGGCATTATTAGTTTGGGGGGTGCAAAATGGATACTACCATTTGATGTTGGGTTTAGAGCTAATAATACTCCCAAACTCGCCTGAAGGGATTGCTTTGCGATATCTGGGGAAGTGGAAAAGAATTTATTCTGTAATTTAGGGGTTGGGATTTAGGGTTGAGGGTTTAAGGTCTCTAAGGATAGTACCCAAAGAAAGGTAAAAGCAAATGGAAACGAAACGGAGAGACTGCGGCTGCATGGGGAGTATTCCGGGCTTATACGGATATATGGGGGAATGGAAGAGAAAATAGAATCTACCATGTTATTTAGGGCTTGCCTTGGCCCGATAACACTCCCCAACCCGCCTGAAGAAGAAATGCCCCAATATATATATATATATATCTCAAGGGGAATACTGCACGGTCTGGGAGGTCATTTTCAGGGGAGGTGAAAATGATTCAAAGTGAGCTTCTCAGGATCTGAACCTGTAGGGATTCCAGGCATTCGTAGGCTGATGCAAGGATTCTAGGAATCTTTATTAAGAACGGGCCATGTTGCTATAATTTCAAAATCACAAAATAGGCCAGTTTTGGGACTCTTTTCTGTATAAGCACCGTTTGGGGTGGGTGAGGTCGTTACAGTTCCCGTCACCGAGAATCTTGGCCATTTTGAGAAACTCAAAGAAACCTGGAGGGGTTTAGGGGTTTTAAGGGTTTGGGGGTCAAGCGGTTTAGTGGAACACCCTTCACACCTTTTCTGTGCAAGCCGACCGCTAGGGTAGCAATCCTGCTTTTTAGGGCTTAGGTGAAGGTTTATGCAGCATCAGAGCAAGGAAGACGACTTTTGAGGGGTTGCTAGGAGTAGCGAAGCAATAGAAGCTTTGCAATCAAAAAATCTGAAGGGTATGACGACTCAAGGATTAGTAAGTCACTGACGGCGCCCCACAAAATGCTGTGCCATTTCCCGTAGCACCACCGCTGAACATATGGGCTGTGGCCGCCAAGGAGCATGCGTCGAAAGGGCCCAGCATGATTGCCTCCGTGGGATCTGCTGGAACTACGATTCTTACACCATCGGTTCAAGGCCTGATCCTTGGTCATCTGTCGCATCTTTTCCTTCATGTCCTGCCAAGTTTCCGCTTACGAGCTCCAAACTGGAAAGGCTACAAGGCGCGTGTATGGAAAGACAAACCGCCCGGTCCATGTACTTGACGCCTTGTGCCATGTGCGCCTCAGACTGTGTGAGCATCTGCAGCTGGTTCAGCACCTGAGTACACGTGCACACACACACAAGACGCGTACACTGTTCCTTAAACGCCTTCATATGATCGTGTAACTGAAATCGAAGGCCTACACCTTCATGCATGGTTGCATTGACGCCGCGGTCTGTTTCTAGAGCACATCTGAAAATCACTAGACTTGAGGCAACCATAAGCTAAGCAAGCAGATTTGGTGATCACCTTCGGTGACACGGTATAAGAATTCTACGTCAGCCTCGGCAGATTGAGAGTCTTGCGGAACATGAGATTCGTGCGAAGATGCAGATCACGGCCGAGTCTGTGAATGAGGAGACAGCAGTTGCAAATACATGCCTCCCTATCATGGAGGCACCCTTGCACCTGCACTCCTTGAGGTCTCTGATCGGCTATACATCGCTCTGCCCAATCAAGCAGAGAAATGAGTTGCAACACGAATTGGGGTTCATGCAACTGTGATGCCAGTGTTGGCATCGCAGCGCACACGCACTGCACCTAAGGCGCGTACTCTGAGGTTACATTACCTCTATTCCGATTTCAAGCCCTGACTCATGTATCCTCAGAGTTCGGATTCTCCGAATTCACAATTTTCGGCGCGGACACAGCCACAAAGCCTGCCCCGCACAGCTGCAATCAGCCTGCCAAGATCCACTCCAGGCCGGCAGTGAAAGTCATCGCTTTCCCGGCCTCATCAGCTGTTGAAAGCACGTGAAATCAATTGGCACTTGGAAATCACTCACTTGCCTAGGTCTCCCCCGCGTCAAGAGAGCAGGCGGCACGCCTTGACGAAACACAAAGGAAGGCGGAGGCGAGAATGTGATACTATAGCTTCCATTTTCTTTTCCATTATCCTTAATATGACTCCAATATTTACCCTATTATACTATTGTAGCTTCCATTTTCTTTTGTCCGGTAAGCTGGAAAGCTGCTTCGCCTCGTGCGGTCGTGGCTGGCGGCAATGTGCTGGTTCGGCGCGTTTTTTGCCGCGCGAATGTCCTCACCGGATCCCGAGCGGTTTGCGCCGCGGCCGGCAGCATGACCTCGGTGCTTCATCAGACAGCGCCAAAAGTTATTGGACCAAGAGAGGATGCTCAGGACGGAGCATCCTGTCTTGTTGCAGCGAAGAGCCCCTACCACGCGGAATGCACAGCTCTCATCAACCCAGCTCCTGAAATTCAGTCGAGTCTACTAGGACGTCTCTCACGCCTTGACCTGCTGCTTCAAGGACGGGTCCACGCTCTGCCTAAGCCATCTCACCAGATCATCCTAGAAAACATTACAAAATTAACAGGGTGCGTGACTTGAAGTCTACCACCTGGCAATGTCCCAAACCCCCTGTCTTAATTTAACCCATGTATATATATATATATATCTCTCTCTCTCTCACTATTCTTGCTCAACGAGCCCCAAAAAAAGACCTCAAATTTCTGAGAACCGCCCATGCCCATCACTTGAGGCGAGGAACACCACACTAGAGAGCTCCTTCCTGGTAATCTCGCCGTCGGCATCCTGGTTTGGGTGTCTTTTCTTGCTTTTGGGAGGGAGGGTGGAAGGCATTAAAGTTTTGGGCTTTGAGGTTTCAGGGTGAAGGATATAGGCACTGGGCTTCTTCATGCAATTCCATGCAATTCCACACAATCCCCTACATTCTCGTAGATCCCTGAGTGCCCCCACTAGGATCCCCCTAATCCCACTAAAATGCCACCCTTGCAAAGCCCGTCGCCCGGTCATTGTCATTGCTGTCGGCATTTTTCAAAACAGCGCTCTTCCATAAATGTATACACACCATCATCCTTGTTCTGGAAAGCACAAGAACGGAACCCTGTTCAATCCCTTCGCCCTCACATTACACAAATGCGCTTCTTTGCACCTCATTGCACATCTGAGCTGACTGGGTGATCAACTTGGAAAATAACTACACCATAAACTTTGGAAGCCCTTGCATCAGGTCCTGGTCCCAAATGCGAAGAAGCTTCTGGGCATCTCTGGTGCTGAGGCCGCCTTGGAACTCAAGCTATCTTCAAGAGGACCTATGACCAAAGACTTCCACAACGCCTCGGCAAGGCTACATAAAGTCCACTGGTATGGGACCTGATCTTCCATAACCGATTTAATCTGTCAGGTGTCACTATGGCAAGGGGTCTGCTATAAGACGTCTTGACTTGAGAGACTTTGAAGAATGTATGTGGGTCAAAGAGGCTTAGGTAAGGATCTTGTGGGGACTGTTTCGGTTCCAAAGGCTGACTGGCATGGGCATGCTGAAGCACATTTGGTCGGGACATTTTTTGAAATCCAAGCCTGATGCACCCACAACTTTGAGCTGACAGCAGGCCTCGTGTGCAAAGCTCCCGCGCTGAGAGCTTTCCGTTTCCATCAAAGTCCAAGGCGTCGAAGAGCACCTGGATACAGAGCCGAATCGAACCCATTCCCTATTCTGCAACGAGACAGCTGAAACGGGAATGAGTACCAGGAGGGCGAATCATGGGCCGTGGATGTCCGAATACAGTGCCGGGCCCGGGGTTCTTCAAACCAAATTCGTGATGCACGCTGTCTTATTCTCAAAACGGTTGAAAATGCGGTTTGCCGTGCGCGCCGCCGCATCACTGAAGCTTGAAACTGACCTGCTAACATTCGTATGTTTATGGTTGCAATGGCTGGAATCACATAAATCTTCTACTGCAAAGTTCGTTTTGCCAAACCACGGGCGGCCATCTGTCAACTCCTGCCAACTCCTGAAACTCAGCCAGCCCTTTAAAGTTCTCTAGCGCTGACGGTTTCCTAGCGCTACACTGGCAACTCACTGGATTGCCCTGCGTGCCGCCTCATATCGAAGCCTACAGACTCATTCGAATCATCCTTATGACAACGTAGAAGCTACGGACGCAGGTTTTTTGGACGCACCCCATGTGACTCCAAGTGGGCAGTGGAGATTGTGTGACAACCATAACTTTAGAAATTTGAATTGTGGTTTCCTCTGATTGATGCTTTTTGCGTTGTTTGTGTTATTGCTTTTGCTAACCAGCAATACTTACGGCGGCGTCCCCCTGCCTGAAGGTCTTCGCGACTTAGGGTGTCCAGCACGGCCACTGGCTGCCGTCCGCTTGCTGCCAGCTCAATGACACCGGCATCGTCAATGCTGCCTCTGTAAAGCCTGGCGATACGAGCATCTCTGCGTGGAACAAAACATACACAACTGTCAAAAGCGATGGGTGAGAACGGGTCTGAAAACACTTTGTTTCCAGCCAAGGCCGGTCCCGGAACTACCTGTATCAAAAAGTAATCAATTTACGAGCCTGCTTTGTCGCATGGAGGCCCGCTTCTGCCGCAGAAGCGACGTCAACACCTGCGAATGAATCTTCAGTCTTGACATGTCTTGACGTCTCTCTGCACATGTTTAGTATAGTAGCTTCCATTTTGTTATCCCTTATCCCAAAATATCCCCAATATAACCCTAATACAACCCCTATATAATCCCTATATAACCGATATATAACCCTATATAACCCCTAATCCATAAGCCAAAGACTTCCCTCCGAAGGCCTGATGGGCATGGAAGCTCTGGCACCATCGCACGCAGCACTCGATCGCGGCGTCACAGGCCTTGTTCTCCAGGCCAGGCAGGGAATCTCAAGTTCCAGCTTTGGCTTTTTGGCTTGTTGGGCTTGGCTCCACGCTTTAGGCCACAGCAAGCAGAGGAAACTTCGCAAGGAGATAAGACCTGTTGAACGGTTCTTGCTGGCGTCGCCTTGCAATGAATTCTGCCTTTTGCCTGCTTCCGCGGGCTCCTCGCTGGAGCCATTCTCAGTCAACCTGGAAAATACTGGAGTTCGGAAACTCCTCTGAACCAGATCATGGAAGGACGACAGTGCACGCAGCCTCCGCAGACGGCCCTCAAACTCAGCGGCGAGAATTGCTTGGCTTACCTTTAGCAGCAAAAGTGGAATCTGAGTTTGGACACATTGGACAGCTACCCAAACCACTAACACATCATACCAAAGGGTCCTGCTGCAGTCAGTGCTCCCTTAACCCATAAGCCCATCCGGCATGAAAAGCCGGAGTCAGCATGATGAAATTCCTAGCTAGGGTCTGGAGGATAGAAAGATGTCCCGCATCCACAATAGCAGTCAGGTTGACAAATTTGACAGGGGCCCCGGCACTCATCACTAGTCGATCAGCGCCCAGCTCATCTGGCTCGCTTGAGAAATGTTGAGCCAGATCCTTGCCTGACGCGAGTAGGGTGTAGGGACTAGGGCTGAGGGTTTAACGTTTCGGGTTCCATGGTTCCATGAATTTCTATACCGTTGGCTCAAGGATTAAATGGTTCAATGGCTCAACCTCTGAATCTAGCAATCCACATGCCGGAGCCCCTTCTTGGGGATCTCTAGCACTAAGAATTGAACAACTTCCTGCAGCAGCTCCTAATCAGAGGGCAGGCCCCCACACGAATCGAGGATCCCAGCTTCTGACTTCAACCTCTTTCCTACGCAAGCCAGTCTGTGCCGCTGGCTCTCATCAACCGCCGCATTGATCATTGGGAATACCTTGACTCGGCCTCGGCCTTGGAAATGGTGTATTGGGGTAATGGAAAATAAAATGGAAACTACCATATTATAGGGGTCATATAGGAGTTATATTAGGGTATATCGGGATAATGGAAAATGTCATGGAAACTACTTTTTAGAGGAGTTTGGGAGAGCTCCTGTAGTTTTCTCGTACGCCATTGAGGCAAGGGCCTGGACCCCTGGCCTGAGGATCCAACTGACAAGGGTCAGAAGCTCGCCACCATGGATGACTCGAGGGTTCTCCTGATTCAAGCTGTTGAAACTCATGCTCCAAGTGCGTGACAAAACCCTTGCTGTCCTTGCTAGCAAAAAGCCGAAAGCAAATCCAAGCGATCCAGGCGTGAGCCTGGCAGCGCTCAGAGGGGAACAGGCCATTCTGTTAGGATGTAGCTTATGTTTGCAAAATTAAGGGCCTCATGTCAAAAGTACCTACAATGGAATATAGTAAGTGCATTCGGCCCCCCCCATTTCTGGACGCTACATGAAACTACAATATATCACGATCTTTTCCGCGCCTTGGTCAGGCCATCCCGGTTGGCCGCCCTCTGCCAGGGCTTGTCGTACTGTCGCGGCCTTGCTGCTGAGCTCGAGGAAGTTGACGGAGGGTCCGGAGCCATTCGCACGTCACGCCGCAGAGCAAGACTTGGCTCTGCAGCGCGGCCCTTGCGCGTTCTCGATGAGCCGGCAAAGTGTAGCGGCTCCTTCATCAAAAAATGCCTAAAAGAGCAAAAAAAATCCAACGCGGCCTGTCCTCGTGGATATGCTTGTCGCGAGTAGGGAAAGGCTCGCAGAGTTTCAGCAAGCCCTGCGCCAAAAGAAGTAAACGTAGTAAATAAGGGAGGAGCGGGAACTGAAAGATGTCATATGCAGGCTTGTTTGGCAGTCCGCCTCGCTCCGGTACGCGTAGTTCACAATCTCACCGATGCTTACGAACCCAGAACCTCTGCTCTTCAGAGGCTTCCTTACGCCTGCCATGGTGAAGGATGTTCGGAAAGCCCGCGGCTGTCTGAGTCAAAGCGCTGGAACATCTCCTGGCAATGTGACAGCAAATCATCCGAAGGATCCTTGAGCAGTGAGAAGAAAATTCGCCAACTGAAGGAAATGCTCTGGGATCTTTGAGTTTGATCAAAAACTCTACATGGACTGTCCTGAGCCAGATGCTCAAGCCGCTTGCCATCGGGCAAGCTGGCTTTGGGAAAGAAGCGTGCCAGACCTTAAGGGAACTGGGAACCGGAAGCAGCGGAACATTGGTAGTAGAAAAAGCTACGTCTACCGATCCGTCTTCAGTTCCTTATGCAAGGCCTGAGGTTACTACCAAAGAACACAGAGCGAACCTGGCATAGGGCATATTCCACACGCGAGAAAAAAGCAACATCAGCCGCAATCTCTGAGGGCTCGGCAGCCAGAATGATCTCCGAGACGTTCAGGCAGCCATCTCCATCCATGTCAAAAATACTGAAAAGGAAGGTGACCTGCAACGAGGCGTCTGATGAAGACAATGAAGCTGTAAGATGCCGCTATATGCCGCTCCAGGCGGAAAGAGAGAGGACGGCGCACCCTGGAGATGTAGTGCTGACCAGACATGATGATCATCGGACCTGTGACGCAAACTTTTCAAAGCTTTCAAGCAACCACGGTCAAGCCAAACAACCAAAGAGTGTTTCCCAAGTGCCCTCAGTCACTGAGCATCATCATATCAGGCCTATGACAGACCAAAAGTCCAGCAGGCCGCGCTCTGCATGTTCTGGCCTTCGGCTTCAGCAAAACATTGCATCGTAAGGATAATGACCTATCATCACCAGCATTGCCACTCCTGCTACTGTTCTCACTACTCAAATTAATCCGAGTGATATGGTGACCGTCGCCAGCACCACCACCGCCGCCGCCGCCACCACTACCACCACCATCATCACTACCACCGCCAACCAACGCCCCTCCTCCGCCTCCGCCTCAGCTTCCGCCTCCATTCGCCTCTTCTGCTGCTGCAGCGTTGTCTACCGTACTGAATCTCTGACTGCCCTTGCTGCCGTCCTCACCTCTAAACTGCTGCCCCCTTCGCTTTAACATGCAAATCAGACGAGCGCGTGACCCGACAAGGAGGTCAAAGATGTCCTTGCCGAGAAATAGTCTTTGACACCATGTGCGCTGCTGCCCATGTACAAGTTGCAAGGGTGCCTTCGTCAAGCCATAGTTGCTTATTCGAAGGATGTGCCCAAACTGCCTGCAGCCAACACCGAGCTGTCCCAGAACTCATCTGCTCAGGCCTTCCTCAGAACTCAGCGCAAACTCACCTCTACACCTCCTTCCGAGCCCTTGTTGAATTTAAAGACTTAGGTGCTTGCGTACATCTTGGTACATCAGAACCAGGCGTTTGGACGACTTGTGACTTCCAGCAGAAGTCAGGACTGCAAGTAACCCGGTGCCTGCAGTTCACTGCGTGTCCCCCAGCAGATCGGAAGTTCTCAAAGGTATGCCGCAGATCCTATGAACAGCCGTGGACCGCCCACTGAAAAGCTGAGAGGCAATTGCTGCCCCGCTCCTCTCGAGACCAACACTGCAGATGTGTCAAGCATCCATGGGCAACCTCAGCTCCAAAAAATACTTGGACAAGTCACAGATCTTATTGTGGATTTCTCTAGCAGCCCGCCTTTGTAGATCCATCTGCGGCCCAAAAGCGGTCAACAATGCCTGGCATCGATCATCAGATACAGACACGCAAATGTCACATAGCCTGCAAAGCCAAAATTTCCCGTAGCTGGCCTCCCATGCCTCACAGCAGGACCACGGGAGCGAGAAGGAAAGGTGGCATTGATCCGTCGGATGTCTAGCTTGGAGCCAAGAAGTCAACACGCGTGAAGGGTTTGGAGTTGTAGCTGCGACAGTTCATCACAACACACTGCAGGGGCTGGCACCATCCGCATGTCGCTGCCACAGGACCTGAATCTCTGTCAGAATGAGCATGGCAGGGATTCGGGAACTGAAGCTGCTTTCAGTTCTGAGGACTGGACTCTGCAAGTGCTTCTAAGGCATTTGGCTCTACCTGTGCAGCATTCGCTGTCTTGCAAGCCGCACAGCAGATCTTGTCAGGTCTATCTATTGTAACTGAGCTTGAAGGTCTGAAAGGCGCCTGAAGACCTGCGGATGAAGAAATTTGCGCCTAAGTCGGGTGCTGGATGCCAGAACCCACCAGTCACAGCCCCATATGTATATAACTGTGAGGTGCAAATACCCCCAAACGGGCAAAGCACAGGCAAAGAACTTCAGGAAAGTCTCAGTGACATAGCTTGCGACCGAAAAGTCGGACAGCAACAAAAACCAAGACCCAAGGCGGGAAGGCAGCAACAGCTAGTGGAGACACAACAACCCAACTACTGGTGGAAAACAGCGCACAAGCGAGACAGGACAGTTTCCAACCAGCGGTGAAGCGCATCGTAATCCGTCCTTGTCCCCTTCACAGCCCAACCCCACCTAGCAGACAAAGCCAGGGCAGGGCGCGCAGGAAGGGAATGAACATAGGGCCTACAACACAAGTCCAAGCAATAAACGTGCCCAACTCATCACAACCATCCCAAATGCAAGCCAAGGAGGAACGATGAGCAATACGACCACCAAGGCTAGCAGGCGACCAAGCAGCGCCACAACAAATTTGTGCGAGCTTGAGGGCAAGAAGAAGCCCAGTTACGGGTGCTCTCCCAATCCATGCGACGAATATGCGCAACACGCAGCCGACCAGCAACAAAACAATCAACGCAGTCAGCATCACGTCTGTTCGTGGCGGCACGCTGCAACAGAGTCCCATATGCGCATTCCTTGCGGCCAAAGCACACAGCGCTGTGCGACTGTTGTTTTTGTTGGCCTGGCGAGGGTGGTGGTCGCCGTGGCCAAGCAGGACACTGGACACCTTTCACAAGAAGAGTGCCTGGCCTGGAAAACTTTAGGTCGTAGCAGCTGAACCTTAGTGGTACTATCTGCGGAAGATGAAAAACAAGCAACACCATCTGAGCTCCGAGCGCAAGAGATCTGACCTGGCATTTCAGCATTGCTTTTTTGCTGGATGCATTGACAACTACCCCTCCTTATGACAATTGAGACTATGGAGGATCCGAGGGAAGCCTGATAGAGTGCAACTGCAATTCAGTGGGGAGTTTGGGATCTGGATCACACAATGCCTCCGCCCCGCGCCTTCGGACTGTGCGAGTCATTGCAGATGCAAATTACAGGATTCCTCGTCTTCTTGACCATCCTACCATGAGGAAGACGGGAAAGGGGACACCATCTGCCGCACTTGCTAAGGGTGATTGTCCTGCCCAGAGCCGCCATGCCACCCCTGTCGCCGGCACCCATGCCATCCACCTGCCACACACACAGAGCGTAAAGAACAGCAAGCTGCTGCATGAAAGTGGCCTCATCCATAATGATAACTGCCTTCTTGGTCAACGCCGGTACCTGATTAGGTCTACCTGAACTTTGCTGCTACGGACAAACACGCCGCGCCTTCTTTGCACCCACGCCTGCGAAGCTAAGGGTTCGGTTATCGGCGATGCCAGAGGCCATCTCCTTGATCAGTGTAAGCTGCTTCGTACTCCAGAGTTTAGGACAGTCTGCGGCAGCTCTGCGCACGAAAGATCTACGGAGAGGACCTGGATGATCTTCTGGCTGCGCGCATCTGAAGCGTTGAATTCAAGAACCTGCAGGCAATCTGCACCCGATGGAATGTCAACTTTCCAAGGCAAGCCCTCATATCACGAATTGAATATGAACGTCAGTCATACAAATGACTATGCAAGTGCTGGGGCTCATACTGACCAACATCAGCAACAACCGCTAACTGCTTCCTGCATCACCTCCGACGCTGCCATGACCGCCACAGTCACCCTCACCAGCAACCACAACATGGACGACCACGACGAACGCAACGACCACAACTACTCAGTTGGATGTCGTCAAAATGACCAAAGATGTTCATCCACACAACTGCGCCAAACACTAAAACCCTGAGGGTGCGGACCCCAAAAAAGGCCACCTTATGTTTTAGGAACCACTAGTTTCACATGGCGCTGGCCTCGTAGCCACCATGGAGGGTGGCCACAAGTCGGCCTAGGGGAGGGCAGCTTCAAGATCTTGACGCAAGGACGTTGCAGGAATTATGTTCTGTGGGGTCGGGTAGGCTCTGTGGCCATCGAGCTTCAGAGTTAAAAATCATGTCCAGGTTCTTTTGTCTTACAGAGTTTTAAGTCATGTCCAGGTGCTTTTGTCTTACAAAATGTTGGAATCCCTAAGGACTACCCCATGTGCACTTTAGAGTTGGGTGAACCCATGCCGGGGTGCGTCAGTTTGTCATGGTCTTTTGGGGTGCTCTCTGGAATTTGATGGTGCAAGGGCAGAGTATAGTCGAAATACGGGAACCCTGCAAGCAAGAAAATTGCAAAACGCTGGACTGTGCTGTCGTGCTAAGCACAGGATGAGGCGTTAGAAAGCTTGCGGCCAGGTGATGGCTACTGGTGCAGGTCATCAATTCAACGACGGGTAAGAAAAAATTGCATAGTCGCCGCAAAACACAAATAGACATTCCAAGGCACAGCAAAGCATGGGGAGGGAGCTGAGCTGCTGCTGGCGCTGGTCAACAGCAACAGCACCGGTGATGTTGTGAATGTAAAACAGCAGACATGGCACTGGCAATAGTGCTGCTCCTGAGGTAGTGGCATGTGGTGGTCTTCCCAATGCCAGGCGGGCCGCTGATCAGTGCCGCCCGCGCGTTGATGTTCTGCGCTGGTAAAGCTATGCAGGCATGCCTCAGTCCTCCCTAGCAGCAGCAGCATCGGAATACAGGCCTCCGGCATACCGCCGCCTGGTTTGAAGGGCGCCTTTTTGGTCCTGCCCTTCAGTACTACCTGCACACAGGTGCCGAGCAAAACAAGACTCATGAATATCCAAATGCTTTGACTGAACTTAGCTAGCAGCATCGTCCCAGTCTCGAAGCCATTCTGTCAGCTTCCTTGCAACACTGCCCAAATCGGCAAATGACGAACTGCTGGTACTGATACTGTTACTGACACTGCTGCTGCTGCTGCTGCTGCTGCTGCTGCTGCTGCTGCTGCTGCGGCGGGTGCCTGTGCTACTGCTGTTGCTGGTGGTGAGTACGAGTCGTAGTCGTAGCAGCAGTAGAAGCAGCAGCCGTCGCAGCAGTAACAGCAGTAGTAGAGCAGCTGCAGAGGCAAAGCATACAAATCTGAATGGCGGCGGGAAATGGCGCTGGCGCTGGGGATGGCGCTGGCGGTGGCGAGGCGGCGGTGGCGATGGCGGCGGCGGCGGTGGCGGTGG